AGTAAAGAAGAAAAATTTAAGAAAATCACGATCTCATTTGAAAGAGGTAGAAAAGTATGTTCCTTAAATATTTTAGGCTGATGGAGTAAAAAAGAGCAAATTGTGAAACCCACTGCAGCCATTAAGTTGATTTACAAATCGAAAAAGTAAAAGTACTTAGAGTCGTCCACCAAGGGTGACTTCCAAACTTGCTTCTTCTATAGATCGTTTTAACTTAATGTTCTAGATATTAGGAAAGAAAAGGCAATGACGGTAGTGAGTGGTGGAAGGAGAGATGGAAATGTGAAAAATAAAATGTGAAAATAGAGCGATGGTAGATTTTATGGATTAATATTAAGATAAGAGAGAAGAAGAAAAGGAGTCACTTTACGGTTGTTCATAAATGACGTCTATCAAAAGATTTTTCTCTTTATGTAATAAAATTTAATGCTTATAATTCTGGATACTCCAAAAAAATTTAAAAGAAAGACGTCATTGGCGAACGATCCCTCCTTTTAAAATGCAAAATCATTTTTGTCTTCATCTTATCCTTGTCTATGGAAGTGGATAATACCAAGCTAGTTGAAAAAAATCTATGTATCAGCATGTATCTGCATTTTTACATACTTTTATGTTCTGAAGCCATATTACATGAAAATCATTTTACGTAAATTGACTGTGTAAAGTGTTTTTAATAGAAAAAATGGAAATCAACCGTGAATTGAGAATAGAAAGGAGCAATTGGAACAAAAGACCAATAGTACAAATTGTTTGTAATACAATACCACCCACGTATTTGTTCAGTACTCAAAATTAATAGGCGTCGACATCGGCAAAGTACTAGAGTCAACGATAATTTTGGGATCGAAATCAGCATTAGACTTTTAGGGTCTCTTAGATGTTATGTAACGATAAGAAGTGCTATAGTTCTAATCGTAAGTCTGAGGTGTCCTGTTTAACGTTACGTTTTATCCGAACTTACCCCATAGACTTTAGATAAGAATAAATCTGCTGAAATCTAATTAGCATCACATTTTCCTTCTCACTTAGCGATTCCTTATTATTTTGTTGTTATTATTATCATTTGAGAAATTAAATCTAGATTTGGCACGTCACTCAAAAAAATTTCTCCATCCTCGCGTAATTTTCTTTCTCTTTTTCTCCGCTCTCGCAACATTCCCATGCGAAAGTACTTTTTTATTAGTCAAATGGAAGAAGGATCATAAAAAATTAACATCATACTCGCTCTCAATATATCTCCTTCTCACTTACATCTCCACTGAGCTCAACGCATATATTACTTTTTATGCCTCTTAACGAATTTATTTATACTTATACATTCTTTCCTTCTTATTTGCTGTATTTTTTCTTTTTTTGGAGGAAAAATGGAGAAAAAAAAATTCATATTCATTATATCATTAATGTACATTAAATAGAAAAATCAATATTTGTAATGCGTGTGTAGACTGTAAGATTGTACGAGGGTATGAGTGTGGATGTATGTGAGAAAATTCTGCTTACATTAAAATTTACTTTATTTAATATCATATACAATAAATTTTTATATATACACAAATTATTCTAATGTATTCGTTCCAAGAATGTTGCGGCTTTTCTTTTAAGGCGTTTTCGCTTGTTATTAGCAAGAATGGAGATTTCAAGCTGGGAAAGAAAGTTACAAACTTTTTTTTCGTTGTTCTTATTATTTTCTTTTTTCGTCGTTATGAACTTTTCTGTTGTCTTTATCGTTTGATAAAACTTTTGTCGCTTGAATTGATTAAAATTTAAGTACTGTTTGGTATTCGTCTTTTCTTGTTACTCTTGTCAAAATTATGGATTTATCAAAAAAGGGGGTCGTTCGTAAATGACGTCGATCATTTCAAAAAGATGGGTTTGATCAAAGATAGACAACGATTTCAGCAAGATTAAAGTGACAAATACTACACTGAACCATAAAACGGGGTGGGGTTGAACGTTCCTGATCATAAACCTAACTTACAAACAAACCCTCGAACAACTCAAATTTTATAAATTAATCAAATCTGCGAAGCGTGGGAGACTTATTGAGACAAGTCAAATCAGATTGATTTGGGCAAATCTAAAACTAATTAGTCCGCATAAATGAAAAATTTTGTAATCTAATTAGGATGAAATTATGAAGCTACAACCTTTAAATATCATATTATTGAGAACTTAAGTGGAGCCAGTATTTACAAATTATTGAAAATATTTGCTAAAATTCAAATTATTTGTCACAATTTTAGATGTAGGCGGTTTGTTCTTTTATGTTGGCTTCTGAACCTCAATTTCCAATTATAATTTTTTCTTAAGCATCATGATGCATGCAAAAAAAACTCAATTCAGACGCGTAGGGGGAGAAAATACTTCCAAACCCCTCTTCAAATTACTGACTCAATTAATATTTTTTTGGTTTTCAAGCTTAAGTAATTGCTTAATCTGTATTTGGCGTGTGTGTTGATTAAATCTTCTTAAATTTCTAATTTCTTTTTTGTTGAGTTGAGTTTCGCACTTGTGGAGCTTAATTAGAAAATTCTTTTGAATGAAAGATTTAATTTACTGAATGAAACGTAATTTTCAAGAATCTTTCAAATGACAAGATTAGGCATTTATTAAGAAAACGTAAATCTACATCATATTTTAATGTAAGATGTCAAGTCATATAAATGCAATTGCTAAAAATATTATTAAGCTAAGGTCGCAGATATGAAAAAAAAATTTCTACTAATGATGAGCGTGGGTTCAAATCTCACCAAAAATTAATAATATTACAAGAGTAATTTAAACGAAGTAGAAAAGTTCTAATCTTAGTTTGATTTCGAACCAGAATAGCTCAAATCTAAAGAACCTTAAAAATTCAAAACATTAAAATATTGCAAATCAAACTCAATTCTTTGCATGAAATAAAATATTTAAAAAAAATATTATTTGAATAAAAAGAATCGAAAATTTGAAAATTACATATTCTCGAACACATTAATTCAAATTTAATATTTTCATCATATTGCAGCCGACTGATGGAAAAAATATGTAAATTTTCCATAATCAAATTCGAATCAATTTATTAAACTTTTTTTTGATGTGAATAATATTGATTCTTGCAGAAATATGTCAAAAAAAATTTGATGAATAAATTATTTCATGCTTAATAAACTAATAGAATTTTTTGTAAGCTTCCGAAAAATTTGTGCTGAAATTCAACTTAAAACTTGTTATAAAACCATAATCAGATTAATTGAAAATATTGTTTGTGTTGCTAAACAACTTTATGCATACATAATTCATTTAAATTTTTATTATTCCTCCGCTTTGAGGCTTTGAATCGTGCACTTGTTATCGGCAGATTACTAAACTTTGTAAACTTTACTAAGCATGCAAAATTAGAATTTTTTTGAAGCAAAATTGACGATTGTTTGAATTCTCATTGTTGTGGGCCATCAACATATGTGGGCTTCGATCATAACACTTGATTCTTTTTCTTACAAATAAATAAAAACATTTCTGAAAATTTTGCCTATAAAACCTTCTGAAAAATAATCTGTTTTTAACTCAAAGTTTTAAAAAGCTTTCAATTGAAATAATAAGATTCTAGAGTCTTTGAGATAATTTGAACTTCAATTGAAATTTGTTCAAAGAGTTTGGAATGAATGAATTCGTAAATATATTTTATTGCTGAAAAATATTCATATTTTATTAGAGACGAGCTTAAAGAAAGAGCAATTAAGAAAGAATTAGGTTCATTGGACCATGTTGTTCTGATTATACCTTTTGCTTCAAATGTTGAATCCATTTTCCAAGATTGTAAATATTTAATCGCATAGCTAATTTAATAATCAATTAAAACTGCACTTTTAAGTCACATTCTTAAAGATTTAATCAGTAAATTTTCTTTTACGTCCATCAATAAATGGAATAAATTCGATCGACTTCAAAAGTGAATGATTCTTAACTGATTAGGAACCCTGCAATTATTTCTGTATTCTAGACTAAGGGTCATTCACTTATGACGTCCAAAATTAACGGTCATTTTTCAAAAAAAAAAAACAATGGGCTTCGATGAATTTCTATTGTTCTTTTCTTGTTGACCTTCTTATATGTCAAAATTGAACGGCTTCTAGTAATCAGTCTCTTCAGTACACAAACCAACTGAGATCACAATCATTCTCATTATTACATTATAATTTTGATTAGTCAAACTTTACTCAAAGTAAACTTTTAGTTCCTATCCAACAATAATCGATTATTTAAAAATAATTCATGAACCCTAAAAAATTCAACAATCAAATATTTATTATGCTAAAATTGATGAGCCATACCATTAAGAAAATTATGAACTTTAAGACAATATTTTGCAAACAAAAAATATGTTTGGCTATTCCACACCTACAGACTACAGAATGTCAGTCTTGACAGCATAAATGATGATAAGACAATTTTATTATTGCAAAAACGTCACTACTGAGTGAAAAACAAAAACTTAATAATTTATAAAGAAAGCTGCTACTCTGAAAATTACGATGTCTGCCTTTAACGTCAATTACAATGAAGAGCTTAAGACATTTTGGAAGTTCTTCAAATAAAAATAAATAAATAATTTACCTTAGCTGTAGAATTTAATTTTTAAACTTGGAAGATTTATGAAGGAATAAGAAATGAGCAGAGCTTGAAATTAATTTGGATTTTGTAAGATGTTGTGTCTTAGCAGAAGAGTTGAATCTTGATATCGAGCTGCATGTAAGCGAATCTGCTAATTGGTTGAGCAATTGAAAACATATTTTGTGAGGACATGAGTTCGATTCCCAGTAAAATCCGAAAAATTTGAGCCATGCGACTTGACTTGATTAAAAATTCATATCGCCTTCAAATTCTGCTTCCAGCAAATAAAGCCTTTTAGTACAAGCCTTGGAAATTTATATCTAAAACAATATTTATTTTCATCATCAAATAAAACCTTTTATAACCCATATTTTTTCTCTCCCTCTCTTTTATTTACTTTTATTTAGGTTCAATGAGTAACTTGCACAGAAAAATGTTAAAAGGTCAAAATGTCAATTGGTTGTAAATTGTATCTGGTTCTAGAAATATTAACAATAATTTTACAAGGTAGGTTGAGCATTCATACATACACACGTATGCCATAAAATTATTCCATTCTTTTATAGTTAAAGCTATTAATTTGATTACAAAGGAAGGCACTAACGTACAACAATAACATAAAACGTATTAAGGTTCATTGTTCTGTCGAATGTTGTAAGATAACAAGAAAGTTAATATGATGCTAATAATGAAAGGCGCATTTTTATTGTGACTCTCTTTGTTAGCATCACAATGAGCACCTTGCTCACAAGCCGGCAAGCTAAATTACTTAAAATATCGTATGAATGGACATTCTTACGAGTCATTAGTTGGTGCGATAAATCAATCATTATTAGAATGATGAAGAACTTTCTTTCTTAATTGGACGATTTCACTTTTGATTGACCAATTATGTGACATATGAGTAGTCGTAAATAGCGACAGATTTCTTTGTTATTGCTGAATTGAAAGGAAAGCAACATGTTATATCCGACATACTCGAAAAGATGCTTAGAGATAGAAAGATCAATTTTTAAAGGCTGAATTTTTTACTAAAATAGATGATTTTCATTATGAATGTGTTGTCCTACTGAGAAGGCAGCATAGCTTTAAAAATAAACCTCAAAAATTTGTTCATTTGTTTTGATTACCGAATTTTTTTTAAAAAAGAATCTTTTGTATAGTCCATTGTAGAAAACAAACAGCCCTTTTCGGTTTTGTGAATGAGACCGACTAGATCCGTATATGCGAATGCAGAGTGTGACTCGTAATTGTTGTTTTTGCGGAAGAGAATTTATTAAGGATAAACTATGTAAAGAGGAAAATTTCAAATGAGACTATAGTGTATTTAGGTCCAAAAGTTGATTTCTAGAACAAACAGAGGGTACCATACCTTAGTCATAGTCAAACTTATAATTTACTAAAGTGAATAATCTAGCTTTTTTATTCAAGAATTGGTATCCAAGGATACCTCTCCTAACCTACCCAATCTCGAGTTGTCCTAAGCAGCCATTATTAAAAATCAAGCTAGGGAGTCTTGTAAGAGTACTAGGCTTCGATAAGAGCTTCCGCGAGGTTTCAAAAGCCATATATCAAGCTAGAGTATTTTTTAAGATCCTGAACCCCCTGAATACACTACGTCCCTTCTACAGGAACCTTAAAACATCATATTGCGAAGGTAAAACTGAAATCTTGGAAACATATCCAACACAAACTCAAAGCACACATAGCTAAATATATACTCAACCAGACACCTTGATGATAATCCAGATTACACTTCAAAAGAAGCTCTTTTTAATGAAAATAGAATGGAAAATTTTTTTTACAAAAAAAATTATATTACAGACATAATTTTTTATGTACCTACAAGAAACATGAAAGCAAGGGAAATAAAATTCCATGTGGGAGGTTCAATGTGTGAAAATTTTTTCTGTAGTTTATGTTCTACTTGAGAGCTTCGCATGTAGACATTGACAAATACGACAGATACATTCAGTCCCTTTTCCTTTTTCTGTCGAAATGAGATTAAATTAGAAAGTTTAAACATTGACTTTCCATATTTTTTTTATGTTCAACTTTAAAAATGTTTAATTGACAAACGGAAGCATGAACAGTTGAATGCAGTTTATAGTGAGCAGCTGCCTAGGTGAAAGTTTATTTTTTTAACAAAAAGGGTTTTAAAAACATTCGAGAAAATAAAAAAAGTTCAATTTACATCGGAAGCTTGGGGTTGAACGACCCCCCCCCCCCCCCCACTTTCACTCCTCCGGGTTCAAAAATATCAAGCTACTACCCAAATTTAAATAACTTAATATTTACATAAGAGTATGTAAAATGTCGTTAGCCCAAGTACAAAAAGGGATACAATTTATGTTGTTGCTGCCTCTCTTTTATATTCTTGTATGCATTGTAAATGGATTAAAAATGTATACACGCATGAGAATCGATTAAATACAGAATTGATATTAAACCGCATTTTATAGTACTTTTTAATTATTATTCTCAGTGAGGTACGATAAAAGGATTGCTATAATTGCCTTTACATAAAATTTAATTGATTTAAAATAAATAATAAAATGCACTCGGAGCAGAATGAACGGTAGCCAGTGATAATTATTCAAATAAATATTCATTTTTTTCCATAATTAAATGGATGAAAAATTTTTCATTTTTTGCATATATTCATGAAAATAATTGTTCGTAACAAGAGCATTATACAGTTCGTTGAATAGCTTTTTGACTGAACGAATCCTTGTAATCCAATTTTTATTTTTGTAAAAATCATCAAGAAAATGATTGAATTATGTTGGCATTTCAATGAGAAAAATTAAGCTACCGTGCACAGTAAATATACAGCTAATTTATTTGAATGGAATTTTTGCATTTAAGTCATTCATGACCAAAAATGTATGAAGAATGACTCGACATGTTAACTATTTACATAGCTTGACTAAAACAAGCATTCATAAACGATTTATTTCTTATGATTAATGCACGAAGAACATTACTTGAGAAATTTTTTAAAGTATGAGGATTTTGTGAGAACATGAGAAACAGGGGGACGGTCAAGGGTGGGGAACTGATAATTTGATAATTTCCGACCAATTCTTCAGTTCCGCACCATTTGAGGCTGTTTTATTGAATTGACAGCACAACTTTTAAACACTAAAATCCAAAAGCTAGAGTTTTTATTTAAAACTTTTCATAAGTTTACAAAAGCTTGTTGCTGTGAAAATTGGCACTTAAGATTGTGAACTGAAAAATCTGTTGATATCTTTAATTTTTGATGCCTTCAGGGTTGAGGAGTTACAGAATTGTGTGATTTCTGTGTTGAATAAAAAATAATCATTTCCATTAATATCAATGTTCTTAAATAAATAGCTTGTAGCTAGATTGAATTTAAAATTCCATGTATTTTAATGGATAAGCTTTCAATAAGGTACTCAGATGAAAAAAATACAGCACAAGAACATAAAAAAGTTTCAAGTTTATTTGCATACTTGAACATTCTTTAACAACTCATTGGATAACAGCATTGAAAATCATATTACAATCTAGTATGTATCTTACATCTTTACAATAGAGATTCTTCTTCGATAACTTGACCATCTCATGCAAATATGCCAGATCTCAATTATGGAGAAAAAAAAGCTCTTGATAAACTGATATGAATGACATCTAGAAAAGAGAAAAATTTCGAAAATTTTAATATACGATCCACATCTGCAATAAAAATTTCATATCCCAGAAAAATCTATGAAGCAGCTCTATGGTAATAAAAAAAAGGAAAAAAATTTCAATAAACTTTCTGTGTCTCTATTGAGCAACTCGTAACAATAAACGAAATATATTGGATTTTTTTTGGATCTTAGACAGTGATGGATAACCTGTGTGCCGTGGTTCTTCAGAGGTCTATTGTACTTGCTCAGGTGTACTTTATAATTTTAATGAAAGACGTCGTTCATAAATGGAATTTGTTGACTCCTTTTTTTCTGTCCCCAAAAGATCACATCATTCACTTATGACGTCCAGGGGGGGGGGGGGGGGGGGGAGGATTAGAAAGAAAATAACAACAACAATTCCTGGAAATCCGTTTTTTTTTTTGAAAATGACCGTTCATTTTGGACTTCACTACATAGCGGTTTTAAACCAGATCAATCACTGAAATAAACCGAATCATACGAATCACACCCCTGGAATAAATGATAGAATGAAGAAAAATGCATTTAAAAAATGTTCCATATCATTTCTTTATACAACCCAAAATTACGTAAAGTCCTTATTTATTATTTACAATTGATCAGTAGAAGATAAAGTATTGTGTTCTTTTGGATATTAATTCCTTATTGGGTTTCATATTGAGATCCAATAATCCATACAAAATGCTGAATTATGATCACAAAGGGAACATAATCATAATGTATGTTAATGCACATTTATTGAGGATGAAGAGAACGGAAAAAAGTATAAAAATAAAATTTTTAATTCTCATCCTGCTTATAAAGCAACAGCAACAACAACAACAATAACAGCCAACATAAACAATGTTAATGAAAATTTGATTTTAATGACATAGGTTGGAAAGTTTCATGAGAGCGCTTTTAATAATTGTGAAATTATTAAAACATTATTATGATTATAATAGCATGTACACGAAACGAACAAGTGCTTATACGAAAGTGGATACAACTTGCGTAATTAAATATCATTCATCATAGATGATGATAACAATTTAGCCATGAATATTACGAGTGTGTGTATGTTTATGTGTTCACAAGAGCGCAGCAAAGGCTAAACAAAAATCTAATGAAAATATTTTTCATTAATTTTTTTGGCTATGTCGACCTTTTCACGCAGTATGGAACAAAATAGGAAAAGAAATGCAGTACGATATAAATGAATAAATAATTAATGAATGTTTTGCGTCTATCATTACGTTATCATTATACTAAACTAGATATATTATTTATACAGCATGACGCATATCGTATGGATGGGAATTTATGCATAGTCACGAGAAAAAGGAAATGAATATCAATTTGAAATGATTTTACACATTTCTAGCGGTAAGATTAAAAGATTATAAAGTTGAAAGTTCAGAATTTGATATTTGGAGTGTTTTGACGTCGGTAAAACTTCAATTGGTAATTATTGTTTTTTTTAAGGGTTTCCAAAGCTCAATATACATTCGTTGTCCCGCCACACTCCTCTGGATACGCTCCTAATTTAATCATAACATTCAGATCCAGACATTATATATCATATTAAGCTTTGTGAATCTTTGTCATCCTTGAGAAAGATTAGTATTTGGTGGGAATCGAACCCACGTCCTCACAAATAAGAGTTAAATGTATTCAGTCTGTTACCTAATCACTCACACCACAGAGACTTAACTATCGTACTTGCAGATTCGCATATATCTGGCTCGTTACCCCAGATTCGACTTTGCTCAGATATCACAGTGACATACTTAAACAATTCCTTAATATCAGCTAATCAAACAAGTTCAACGTCCCAATAATAAAGAA